TCCCCATTCCCCCCCTCCTCCCCCAACCCCCCCCCCTTCTAAAATCCCCATTCCCACCCTCCTCCCCCAACCCCCCCCTTCTAAAATCCCCATTCCCACCCTCCTCCCCCAACCCCCCCCTCTAAATCCCCATTCCCACCCACCCTCCAATTCCCATTCCCCGCATTCCAGACCCCTCCGGAGATCGGTGCGCAACGCCCTCTTCCTCCTGCCGCTGCTGGGAATCACCAACGCTATCACCATGATTCCCAAGCCCCTGGAACGGTCGGCGTTTGAGTTCGGCGTCTGGTCCTACGGCACGAATCTGCTGACGTCATTCCAGGGTTTCGTCGTGGCGTGCATCTACTGTTTCTTCAATGGAGATGTGAGTAGGCGGGGGGGGGGGGGGGGGGGGAGTGGAGGGAGGGTGGGAGGGAGGGAGGGGGTTTAGGGGGTATGTTGGGGTGTAGGGGGTGAGGGAGGGAGGGGGTGAGGGTGGAAGGGGGGGAGGGAGGGGGTTTAGGGGGTATGCTGGGGGGTAGGGGGTGAGAGAAGGGGTGAGGGAGTAGGCGGGGGTAGAGAAGGTGGGGGTTGGGGGGTAGGGGGTGAAGGAGGAGGTATGTTGGGGGTAGGGGGTGAGGTAGGAGGGAGGGGGATTAGGGGGTAGGAGGTGGGGTTAGGGGATATGTTGGGGGTAGGAGGGTGAGGGAGGGGGTATGTTGGGGATAGGGGGTGAGGGAGGAAGGGGGTGAGGGTGAAGGAAGAGGTATGTTGGGGGTAGGGGGGTGAGGAAGGGAGGGGGTATGTTGGGGGTAGGGGTGAGGGAGGAAGAGGTATGTTGGGGGTAGGGGTCGAAGGAAGGGGATATGTGGGGGTGAGGGAGGGGGTATGTGGGGGTGAGGGAGGGGGTATGTTGGGGATGGGGGGTGCGGGAGGAGCTATGTGGGGGTGGGGAAGGGATATGTTATTATATATATAATAACAATGATGGTGACAATTATAATCATGATGGTGATGGATGATGATGACGATTGATGATAAATGATAAGGTTGATAATGATAACTACCATACACCAAATATATACTAATATAAATATACAACTAATTACCCGCAGCGGAAACGTAAGGAAAATTTCACCAGTATGCTCGAAATAGTATCCCTTTTGTACACAAGAGCACCGAGTACTGTACACTTTTCTAAGTATACTAGAACTCCTCACAATAGTACTTCAACATACAGTATAACTAGGTTGCTCGCTTGTCGTAGCTTGAAAGGATAAAAATAGCGTAGAGTGAGATAGATATAGCGTATAGTTGAGTGAGAGAGAAACGTCATATTATTTTTTTGTTTGAGTTGTTGGATAGGAGTAATGGGATTTTTTTTTGTTTGTTTTTCCTTGCGTGTATTGGATTTCAGTGGAGGTTGTTCTTGCGTTCGTGAAGTTTTGATGATTTGCTTTATTTAGAAAAATACTTTTAGTGGTGATTCGCTTTCATTCGTAAATATTCAATGAAAATGTAATTGTATCTTTCACTGACGATTATCTGGCACTTATATATTTTCACTGCTGATTTACTTGTACTTATAAAGATCTCACTTATTGTAGGATTCACTTGTATTAAAAGACTTTCACTATTGATTCACTTACATCCGTAATTTTTCACTCTTGATTCATTTGCGATCATGAACTCTCGGTAACGATTCACTTTTATTCATAAAGTTTCACTTCAGATTCACCTATATTCATAAACTTTTACCTGAGATTCACATGTAATTAAAAAAAAATACTGTCACTATTGATTCGCTTACATCTATAAAATTTCACTGTTGTTTCACCTACATCCATAAAATTCCACTGTTGATTCACTTACATCCATAACCTTTCACTTAAGATAAACATACATTCACAAACTTTCACTTAAGATTCACTTGCATTCGTAAACATTCCCTACACTTGCACCCATAAAAGCTCCATTGAAAATTCACACACGTTCAGAAACCGTCCCTGGCGATTGCTTCACATCCACACACTCTCCCTAATGACGCACACACGCATCCATTCATACACATCTACACTCCCACTTTGTTTGCTCGAGGCTTTAACTCACCTGCAAGCCTTATTCAGTCACCTGCAAGTTTTATTCAATCACCTGGAATCTTTATTCACTCACCTGCAAGGTTTATTTATGACTCCTCTCTTGCTAGCTGTCTCGGAACTTTCCTGTCTGTCTGTATTCCTTGCTTTTATTCAAGTTTCATTCCTATTTTTTTCTTGTTTATATCTATTTATCTGTTTGTTTGTTTATTTATCTATATATTTGGCCATTTGTCTATCTATCTAGCCATATATTCGTCTATCTATCTAGCCATTTATTTGTCTATCTGTCTAGTCATTTATTTGACTATTTATCTGTCTGTCTATTTCTCTATATATGTGTCTGTTTATCTATTTGTATATCTATCTATCTATCTTTCTCTCACTTTTTTTTCCCGCGACCAAGTCATTCTTTATGAACTATCACCTTTACTGCAAAATATGAGATTGTGGCAGCATTTCTTACCTCGGAAATTCTATGCATATATGTTTTTTTTTTTTCTTTCTTTCTCTCTCACAATTAATTGAATAGATAGATAGAAAGATAGGTAAGATTGTAGAAAGGTAGGTATGTAGATAGATAGGTGTGTAGATAGGTAGGAAGGTAGATAGATAGATAGAGAGATAGGTAGATAGAGAGATAGGTAGATAGGTAGTTATATAGTTAGATGGTAGGTAAATAGGAAGATAGATAGGTAGATAGATAGACAGACAGACAGACAGACAGACAGATAAACAGATAGATAGATAGGTAAATAGGAAGATAGGTAGGTAGACAGACAGAGAGATAAGTAGGTAAATAGGTAGGTGGGTAGGCAGGTAGATAAATAGACAGATAGATACACATCTAGATCATTAAACAGTAATAATAACAGCAAAATATAATTGGGTGGCGAGTTGCAACCTTTCCTTCCTTCCTTCTCCTCCTGAGTAACCGAATTCCCTCGTGGAAATTTCTTATTTCGCGCCGAAGATGAAACGCCGTCTTTTCCTTGGTGGTTTTTCTCGCACGAAGTTATCAAACGTCGATGGAATTATAGGCAGAGGAAACAGAGGAGGGAGAAAAGTTAACCAAGGAGATTGTGGGAATCTTTCTCACAAGCACACAAAAACAAATAAACGCACACGGACACATATTCATGAACACAAACGCAAGAACGTAAACAGACATATAGGCACGCACGCGCGCACACACACACAGACACACACATGCACACACACACACACACACACACACACACACACACACACACACACACACACACACACACACACACACACACACACACACACACACACACACACACACATGCACACACACATGCACACACACACACACACACACATACACACACATACACACACACACACACACACACACACACACACACACACACACACACACACACACACACACACATTTCCAAGAGCATATTCTGTGAAATCAGGAGAGCATATCCACTTTTCGATCAAGACTTCGAGAACAGTGCAATCAGTCTATTGCATGCATCATTTCCATCATTCTCCATCTTTCCACCATTTTATTTGTTTATTTTGATATCATTTGTATTATTATGTTTTGGATATATCTCCTTTTCTATATTGCCCTATTGTGTATACGAAGATCCTCTCCCGTTTCGGATATTTCGATATGTTTTACGTTATATACATACATTTATTTTACCTATAGAATAACGTTAACAATACTTATACTTCTATATTATTTATGCTATCATATTTTTACATGAAGCTTTTCCTGTACCATTATACCTTATACTATTCTATTTATTTTATATTTCATTACACCACATATGGCAATACTATTTTCTGATATCTAAATCACGCTTGCATTAATTATCTGTGATATAATGCAATGTCGCGGGGGAGCAAGAAAACAGCAGTGAAATCATAAAATTAGTAAATGTATTCCATGTTATGAAAGGGAATTAATGTATTCATGCCAACTCGCGAACCAATGGCTGACGTAGCATGTTCAGGAGACATTTTGATTTTATTTATGCATTCTTGTATTTAGTTAGTTATTTACTTATTCATGTATTTACTTATTTATTTATTTGTTTATGTTACTTCCTAATCTGTTTGTTATCCTGAAGATTTAATAGGTTATCTAAACACTTTACCCCTTTATCTCGATGCTGTACTGTCTCTTAAAGGACTGGTCTTAAGATGTTATTAATGTAAGGTCAATACAAAAGATATAAGAATGTAGGGTCACAATTTGTGAAAGTCATTTTGTCTGTAGAGAAGTAAATACAGATTTTAGCCTTTCTGGGGTTGATCCCTTGTGAAGTAAAAAAAAAAAAACAGAGTGATGAAAAAAATATACTTTACTATGTTTTCTAGTACTAGACAAATAAGTAAAAAGTCTAATTAAAGTATTTTGTGTATGTATTCAAATGATTTGGAATAAAAGTATGTAAAATAAAAATTCGCTTGCATCTACTCGTCTTGCAAAAATGCTATAAATTTCAGACTGTTGGTCCTACAATACAGGAAAATAATTGAGATCGACTGAATTAGAAATCACAAGAAAAAATTGACGGTATCTTACTGACACGAATACTCAATGAGTTCATTATAATGCAGAATTACTTTCATATATATTCTTGAGAAAATCACTTAGACTTTCACAAATGTGTCACATCTTTCTCCCTCCTCCTCCATTCCATACCCGTTGTTGCTGTGGGTATGCTTAGGAGACGGAGACAGGGACCCAAAGTGATGGGGATCACGCCTGCCTTGGACCACAGCCCTCGACTCGACTAATTTTGCACATTTTTTCCCCTTCCCTTTCGTTTCCTACTCTTCTCCATGTACATAAATCCCTTGTTTAGTTGTCTAGCCCTTACCTTTCAAGGGGACCCTGAGGGTGAACTTTTTCTCTCCCTAACATACTTTAGGCTTACCCTGGCCAGCAATGAAGACTTAGTACCATTTTATATCCATTTTTGTACCATTCTTATCCATTTTTAGGGGCAATGAGGCTCACTCCTTTATCAAAAAGCCCAACTAATTTCATATCGTCCAGTTCCTCGATCCCAAGCTCTCCTTTGACCTCGGCTCTGAACACTGCTACTACTACCCCTCTTCTTAGTATCACATCAATCCAGTCCAGATCATCCATTCATTCGTCCTACTACACCCACCTCTACAAACATCTTGATTACCCTATTTCGCCCAGCCAATTAGGGTACTCCCCCCCCCCTACAGCTCTTTCCCGCCTTGTCACAGTTGTATCCGAATCCCAAGCTATAGCATTATCATCCCTGACTTCACTGTGAAGCCATTCCCGTCCCTCAATACTTGCACCGGAACTGTCTCCATCTCCCGACAAACTGCCCTGGCTTCGACAAGGATTGGTCTGGTTGTGGAGAAGACTTACTCCCCTGCCTCATGCAGCACCAGTACAATTGTAGAGGCCGTTGTAAGTCCAATATTGCTAAGATAACTTTTCATAGACATGTCCTTTTCTTCAATGTTTACATTGGCAAAGAATCCCTCCCTGTCAATGTCAGAATTGCTGGTGTCTGGGCCATCCTGCCAATGCCTTCTATGTGGTCAACCTGGTCATAATCAATCTGCTCTGCTCTGCACAGTCACGAATGTGTGCCAATTGTGGCGACTCCCATAATGTATTTCATATTTTATACCTACAAATCTGAGTCTGAGGTGGCAATTCTCTGATTCAAACTTGGCCTCAATTCCCCCCTGATTCAGTTGCATCACCCCTTCCTCTTTCCACTTTATCATTTTCCCTTCCCATTGGATACACGTGAACCCTTTTCATGGATTCTCCCCCACCTGACATTTTTTTTTCTGAAAGTGTGATCTAATGGGTCTTAAACCCTCTTTCTTCTTTGCTAATCCCTGCCTTAACTTACGGACATATCACACTTCTTCCTTTAACATCTTTGTTCTGTTGACTCTTCTTAATCTCTCCCTTCCTGGATTGCTAAATTACTTCTGATGCGTAACACCACTTAGTCTTCAACTAACCAACTCTTTACTCTTTTCACTATTACCCCTTTCTATGGTGATATATGACCTTTGATGTCTAGCACATTTATTTATTGTAATCATTAACCATGAAACATTTTTACACTTTTCATGAGTCTTGAACAGTCTTCTAGTAATTTTCTTTGACAAATGCAAAACGTACACTGTTTTAAACTTGGGCCAGACACGTTTCACGTTTGCAGAAAATGGAAGAGGAGAAAGAATAGAAGAAGAAGGAGATGAAAAAGAAGTAGGAGACGTAGAAGAATAAGGAGGAGAAGAAGGAGCAGAAGAAGAAGAAGGAGGAGGAGGAGGAGGAGAAGAAGGAGCAGAAGAAGATGCAGAAGTAGAAGAAGGAGATGGAGGAGGAGGAGGAGACGAAGAAAAAGGAGAAAGAGAGGAAGGAAGATGGCGGAGGAGGAAGGGAAGAACAAGAACAAGTGAAAGAGATGAAACAAAAATTTATACTGGATTGCAAGCTCATTGGGAAGATCATTTCTCTTAATGGTTCGTACCAAAAGATTATCCGTCTGTTGATAATTAGGGTTATGAAAGAAGAAGGGAATGGAAAAAGGGATAAGTACTTAAAATAGGAAGGTCAGAATAGTAGGTGGGAAAAAGGAGAAGAAGAAAAGAGGGAGATGGAAGTATTGGCGGATAAAGAAGGAGAAGGAGGAGAAGGAAAAGGGCATAGCCAGATTATCGATGATTATCTGTCCTAACAACACATTATGTTATGAAAGAGAAAAAAACAGAAAAAGAAGTAGGAGAATAAGCAACATAAAGCAGATGGAGAAAAATCCATCCCTCCATGAAAACAGACAAAAAATAGAAACAAAAAAAAAACAGCAGAAGACAGTCTCTACCAACAGGGTAAATGCAGTGGAATAAAAGCCACATTTGGAAGTAGTAGGGAAGAGGAATGCGAAAGAGAGAACTGGACGAAACAATAAAACACTCTCCCCAATAAACTAAAACAATACGAAATGCTAAATACGGAAAGTTTAATAACAAAACCATGACAGGGCTGCTTCACTGGCAACTCTGCTTACTGACTCTTTCCTTCCCTCCTCTATTTCATTTCAAAATAGCCAGTACGAGGCTCAAGTACAAATGTTTGTTTCATTTTCTCTTTTATGTCGATTTTAAGCTAGAAAGGTGAAACCAGGTCATTAATGAATAATTTACTCTATCTTCCGTTGAAGGATTTACTTTTACGTTTTTAGTTGTTTTCTTTTTTTCTTTTTTTTTTCTTTTCTTTTCTTCTGTCTCCCTTTTTTTTTTTTTTTCTTTTCTTTTCTTCTGTCTCCCTTTTTTTTTTTTTTTTTTTTTTTTTTTTTTTTGAATGACCATAAATCATCCTATCGGTAAAGTTAGCTCTTTGTTATCAAGCTCTAAAATATCTGTGGGAGACATGGATATACGAAAGCCTTACAACAACAACCGTTTCAACCATCATCATACCTGGAATTAACTCTAATTGCTGCCCAGGTAAAGCTAGTTTGTAATGATGATCCTAAAGCCTGTTAAGGAGATAGGTATACTAACAACTTTACAGCTATTTACAGCCGTATTCTTAATTGGAATTTTAATTGTGGTTCATGTAAAGCTATCCCTTTCGTATCAAAATCCCTAAATGCAAAGGGTATAACAACTAACAACTATTTACAGCCATGTCAATGCTATTCTTACCTGGAGTTAATTTTTTAATTGCGATCCAGGTAAAGTCATCTCATTGGTATGAAAATCTTGAAGTGTAAAAGGTAAACCGGGTGTTGTAACAATTAACATCTTAAGTTATTTCAACCCTATTCTTACTTAGAGCTAATGATTTTTATTTTTAATTGCAATCCAGGTAAAGCGGACTCTGTGTTACTTCTGGAGGCTCAAAGTCACGCTTCGAACTCGCAAGCAAAGATCCGAAGCTTCGTCGGCTTTTCCCGACCCTGACGGCATGTACGATGCCGGATTCGCTCATCGGCCGAAGCTTCATTTTAAGGTTAGTTCGTGAATCGCGTTGAGCTGGGATTTGTGTGTGTGTGTGTGTGTGTGTGTGTGTGTGTGTGTGTGTGTGTGTGTGTGTGTGTGTGGATTTCTTTGTTTTCATGGTGTATCTTTTAATTTATATTTTTTTTTCGCTATGTTTTGTTTCTTTTCGTGTGTCTATTTTCTTCTTTGTCTTTTTCGTCTTCCACCATTTATGTAAAGTGCGGTATTATTATTTATATTATGCCATGTAGAGGGCCATGCACAGAGAGAAAGAGAGAAAGAGAGAGAGAGAGAGAGAGTGAGAGAATGAGAGAGGGAGGGAGAGAGCGAGAGCGAGAGCTGCAATGTCCCTGTTCACCCCCTGTCTCTGCAGGCGCGCAGCAAGTCCTCCAGCGACAAGGGCCTCCCGAACGGGCACCTGCAGTCGCTGCACAGCCTGGGCGGCTACCACAGCAGCCACATGCTGCACCGCGAGGAGCCCGGCCACCCCTACCACGTGACGATCCCCACCACCAGCTTATGACGTCCGGCGCCGTGCCCCCTGAGTCCCCCCCGCGCCCGGGCCTCCCTGAAGGGCTCGGAGCCCCGCGTCAGCTTCATCTTCAGGACCACCAGAACCTCGTCCGCCGGCGGCGCCGCCAGCGCCATGACCCCGACCCGCAACGACAGCATCTCCTGGGAGACGGAGAAGAGAGACATGAAGAAGAAGCTGAAGTCCGGAAGGGCGCGGAGGAAGGGCAGGAAGGACAACCCCGAGGGGTCCCAGAGGGGCGGCTCTGAGGACGGGGGCAGCGGCTGCAGCCTCCGAGGGGTGTCCTCGGGCACGATTGACGCCGACATCCACACGTGGTCCACCAACATGACCGACTACGACGGCGGGGCGTCCTGCTCCTCCTCCAGCGCCCTCCGCACCTCCCACCCGTCCATCCACGCCCTCGACCACGCGCGCCCCACCTCGCCCCGGGAGGACTACGAGCCCCACCTCTCCGTAGGGTGAGCGGCCGACAGGCTCGGACAAACAGGATGTGAAATGTCTACCTACTACCTTGCTATTCTGGCTTTGCATTCCTCGTCCTCTCTCTCCGTTTCCAATCCTTTGCTTCTTTTGAAATCGTCCTGTGAACATACCTCGCTTCTCCTGAGTGATCTTGCCCTATTACGGATTCCGTTTCTTCCCTCTTAAGCTAGTTTATAAAAAAGGAAACAATGTTTTACTTCTACACATTTGTATAAAATAATTTGCTCATGAACATACAAGATAGATCGTATATTGCAAATAAATGGTAATAAAGTAATGCATTATCGTCGCAGATAAAGTGCCAAAACGTCGATATTTTAATGACAAGAGTTTTTTCCCCCACTCAAGGAAAGAGAGAAAAAAAATTACATACTTAAAAAAAAAGAACAATAAACAAAATAAAAAAAAAACATACAGACCACCTAACACAGGAATCAATTTCAATTAAGCAATTATTACACGGCTGTCAAAAAAAAAAACTTATCAGAGAGAAGGATAAATAAAATTCTTGAAAAGGAATCGCACAAATCTTTTGTAATTTTGTATGTACTGAATAAAGAATACAGGGGTTGAGACGGGTCTTCAAGCTCACGTGATGACCCATTAGTTCGGAAGCTGTACATATAGGTCTTTTCTAAAGCGCTGCTCTCGTGTGTATTCTAGAGGAGATATAAAGGAGTAATAGCTAGGTTTCATTAGCTTCTGTGATTGATACCCTATATACATTTACACACATATATACATGTATGCTTACACACACACACACACACACACACACACACACACACACACACACACACACACACACACACACACACACACACACACACACACACACACACACACACACACATATACACATGCATACATACATATATACGCATACACAGACACATACATGCACGCGCACACACACACACACACACACACACACACACACACACACACACACACACACACACACACACACACACACACACACACACACACACACACACATACATGCATACATATATACGCATACACAGACACATACATGCACACACACACACATATATGTAAGCGTGTGTGTGTGTGTGTGTGTGCAGTATAAACACATAAACATACACCAACGTACAGTGTGTATATTTTTTCTGGTAAAAGGCAATACGACCTCATAAAGACCGGTTGTCGTCCACCATTTTTGTTGCTATTTAGTCTTAGAAACAAACAAAACAAAAAATATCTTGTTTGTGTAATAATCTATTCATGCACTTACCATGAATTTGCTTTTTTGATTTCTCGTCTCCATACGCCAGGGCAAGAGGGAGGGAAAATGTAATATTTATTAAGATTATTAAATGATGCTGTTAATGATCTGATTAGTGTGTGATTTTGCTTCGGAAGCCTTCAGGATATATGTTTTTTTTTTTAATGTCTTTTGACGTTTTTTTTTTTAATTGGAGCAAAACGAAGGAGACGAGCACTTAATAGGATTGAATGATTATTAATAATTTTTGTTTGATTGTGATGTAAGGCGTATGCTCATTATATTTATTTTTTTCTCTTCACAAAAGCATCGAATTCACACATACACTGTCATGTCGAAAGACACATACACGCACACACACACACACATACACATACACATACACATACACATACACATACACATACACACACACACACGCACACACACACACACACACACACACACACACACACACACACACACACACACACACACACACACACACACACACACACACACACACACACACACACACACATACACACACACACACACACATACACACATGCGTGCTCAAACTGCTAAGATCTATTTTTCTTTTTCTTTCTTTCCATTACTTTTCTTTCCTTTTAACCTCTCTCCCGATGTATCCATTCATCAATCTTTTAAATCCTATAACATCTCTTCAACACGGAATTTTATCATAAGGTATTGGCGTCCATTTCAAGCTTTGTTACTGTACATGGCTTTGTGTGTTAGACAATAGCATACGTATTTATTTAATAAGTGTAAATCTTGTGCTCTCAACGGCAATTATATAGCGAGGTAATTAACCTTATATCGAAACTATTTATTTGTATTCATTGCCGTTATATATATAGACTATTTCTCCTTTTGTGCTCAGTGATATTTTTGTATAAAGATATAAAGAGTGATTATTATGTACAGTCTATTACAGGAAACAATAACAGGGTAGAAATAATTTATTATATGTATATGTATGGGTGTATGGTTCAGAGTAATAAGGTAAGGTTTAAATGGCGTAGGTTTATATTTTATATTAAAATTATATATTAAAAGTGATTTCGGGTTATTATTGTTGTGTTGAAGAAAATGAAAATTTTTGAAGAAAAAAAAATATGACAGGGTAATTCGATTAACATATTGGAAAAATATATAATGTATTATCTTAAGGCAAATGTTCTAAACTAAGAAAAGAAAGGAAAAGAAAAAAGAAATAATGACAGATTCACATGAAGACACGAGCGAGTTATCATAACGGCAAAGTAATTTTCATTTTTGGTGACCGTCCTTTAAAAATCAAATTATATGCATACCTGAAGATATGTATGCTTACGTACATGTTTATATATATAAATCTCTCTCTCTCTCCCTCTCTCTCTCTCTCTCTCTCTCTCTCTCTCTCTCTCTCTCTCTCTCTCTCTCTATATATATATATATATATATATATATATATATATATATATATATATATATACAATATATATATATATATACAATATATATATATATATATATATATATATATATATATATATATATATATATATATATATATACAATATATATATATATATATATATATATATATATATATATATATATATATATATATATATGTATATATATTTATATATATACATATATGTATAGAACATATATATGTATATAAATACATATGTTCATACATTTTCTTTCGATTCATAGAAATCCTCATCAATGTGGAAGAAAGGAAAGTAGAGCATGAACAGTATTATTGCGAAAATGACATTTAGTTCATTTTCAGACCTGTTATGGTTGACATCGAGTATTAGGGGACAATCAGCCACGAATGATGAAATCAGAAAGATGATTAGTCAGTGAAGCTGTAATTAGAGTTTACAGTCGTTGCTCAGGATACGCTTATTCTGTAAGCTTGGTTTCAGAGCTTTAACGGCTCTTATCTGCTCTCTCTCTCTCTCTCTCTTTTCTTTCTTCATCTCTCTCTCATGCTCTCTCTCTCTTCTTTTCTTTCTTTATCTCTCCCTCTCTCTCTCTCTACACACACACACACACACACACACACACACACACACACACACACACACACACACACACACACACACACACACACACACACACACACACACACACACTCAAATATGTGCTG